TGTTAATTTATTTTTTTGTGTACTTTTGTTTTCAAATTTCTTCCAGTCGTTTGCTTCTACGTACAAACTTAAATCACTTCAGTCAGTATTCATTAACCTTTTCAAGTTTTCATTCTGATAAAAAATCAATCATTTTGTTATTTCGGTTCATTTCTTAAATTGACTTATAAACCAGTTAAAATGAATCATGTGAGAATATTCGTCAATAAATTTTTTCCACCTTTTATTATCAGTCCCCAGACAATCTCCAGCCTATACCAATCAATTCTTGCTCTTATTCGTTGATATCGTGTATGGTTTCGTTGCTTTGTTGTGTTCTTCGTATAATTTAATTTGGCTTTTTGGAAATGCTATCGAGAATATGTTTTGCAATCAATCAATTGTTCATTCCATTGCTCATAATAATTGAAAATTCTCATTCTTTGTTTTCATCAGCATAAATGATAATCCAGCATAGTGCATGCTTATTTCATATGTACAATGTATCCGTGGCAAGTTTAGGGCGTTGAGAAGAAGCATTAAACTTAAAGTGAGAAGACCAATTTTCTCGAATTCAACTGAAAAATTGTTGAGAGAATGACTGAGATGGAGAAAATTGTTATTGAGAATTGAGACTGAATCGGATCGTGAGGACAATTTCAGCAGCTGTTTAACTTCGTTGAAACTTGCATCTCACNTTGAGAATTGAGACTGAATCGGATCGTGAGGACAATTTCAGCAGCTGTTTAACTTCGTTGAAACTTGCATCTCACAATGAACCACTCAGGTTTTCTTCGGCGATGAAATTGTTATTGGTTGTTGCTGCTGGCTGAAGAGCGTCTTCAACATTGCACTTTTCCGAAAGGTGCAAATAACGTTGGTTCGTGAGAATTTAATTTGATGCACTTTCATACATTCACTCATTCGTGTTTATTGACATGACAAATTCTTATGTTTCGTTTGCGATGCCATGATACATGTACTGAATGTGATGTACTCGGTTTATTTGCTGCTGTCATTTGTTTGCCGTTTGCCCATTTCATTTCATGATTGTCATCGTTAAATTGTATCCACGAAATAATTTCAAAATATTAATTTTTTTTCAAAATTGAGAACGATTCCATTTTTGCATATTTTATATTATTGAATCGTTTGATTGTTTGTTGTGTTGATCGTATGAATAAAATTTTGAAATTTCTCTAAAATTTCTTTACTTACAATTGCGCATTCAAGAGTGATTACAGTTTGAGCGGATAAGATTATGGTTAAGCTTCTATTATTAATCTCTTCGTAATAACGATGATATTAATGACTGAATAGTGATATGATATAATAGTAGCGAAAATAATACGCATTACATTCATGATTGAAGTGACAATGATGATGCAAAAGTTTATACAAACACAGTGAGTAGGATTTAAGTGTTAACGTGATTTAAGCTCTTCTGTCAAATATCATCCATGAAAATGGAATTCTATTGAGCGGTGTCATTTTCATTTGCGAATTTACTGGATTCTCGAAATTCATTTAGCGCCAGCTCCGCCACGTGCTTTTGCAAGTTGATCAAATTGCAGCAGAAACGGAAGCACTTCGCTTCGTTTTATAACCTTAAATAGTCAGTCAACTCCTCAGCTTTTCGCTACAATTGGACACAATATTTTTTCAAACGAATCGATACCTACCGATGCTAGTCATCATCACATGTAATATGACAGTTAATCGGCGGATTCTAATTTCATGGCAGAAAAACGATTATTCATATCTTAAAGCTTATAAAGAGTTCGCAAGTGAATCTAGTTACGTAGTTAATCCCAACGGTGACATTGGTAGCATTTAAACGGCCATGTGAAAGGATAATTTCTTTCATGATGGCGCTTGAAACTGCCGACAATAGCGAAGTTTTTGAAGCGCTTATCCCTTCTGAATCGATAAGTATATCGAAGTTTATGAAATTCATCTATCTTCAACTGTCTGAGCGATTTAAACACTGACAACTGGAAAATGATAGTGGAATATCACTTGAAGGATCTGAGAATGAATCTGAGAAAATCCGAGCTAATGAAGAAAAAAAACCTTTTTGTTTTCACTCAACGCAATGATACAACGATGTACATAAACGTATTGTATATCCGTTTGCACTGAACCGTGCCGTTGCAAACGCATTTCTTTGACAATATCACGCATCGAAACCTTCTCGCCATGATCGAACATTTGATTCGCGATCTCTAAGCTAACTATGGTACCTGTTCGACCGATTCCTGAATTCAGCTTCTAATTTTTTCTCAGTTACCACGCCTCTTCACCTTCATTTCATCNTTCTCTCAGATTCTCGGCAAGTGTTGGATCGATAGCTTCGGCGGTGATTTTGATGGTTCAAGCTTGAAGATATCATTGAAAGATTTGATGCTTTGAAAGCATTTCTTTGGATTCTTTGCTCACTTGAAATCAACCCGAAATCAGATTGTAATTAATAAGCAAATGAAAGAAGAGAGACCTGCAGAGCAATGTACAATGATACAGTTCATATCCTTAACACGCTGTAACAATCTATAACAAGCCAAATAGTTCTCGGGTACACCACGATCAGGCCACGATGTCCACGCAATATGCTCGACTTCCAGCTGACTTGATTCATCTGCTTCTGTTACCACTAGCTTCGTTACCGAGATTATCTTCTCGAGTTCGATTATTTTCGTATTTTTTATATTCAGCTTTCCAAAATTCATCTGAAACCATCAACAACAGCGATGAATTTATCCAGCACATTCACATTTATCCACTTTGAATGCTTTGGAATCGCCGAATACTGAATAATATGATACCGCTGAATAATATCCTGTTCTTTTCAGTTTGTACACGTTCCTAGTCTGATACGAAACGGTTCTCTTGATGAATTCATTTCTTTAGGTTTACAAAGTTTTTCTTTTGAACTTAAACTTCACCGATTAAGCAGTTAGTCATTTTTTCTATCGATTTACAGTTATAAATAGATCGAAATTTAATCCGCTTTTCACTTCATCAATGTGTTGTTCACAAGCGCAAAAATTCCTGCTTTTTTGCTAAACTTTTTCGAAAATCAAACAGATTAATTCGCAGTGATTGCATTCGCCACAGTCATAACTGCTTTTGAAAGGATTAAAGTCAATCCGTTCAACAATCGCATGCTTCTTCAAACAAATCACATAAATCGTTTCAGCTGGTCCAAATCTCATCATAATAAATGATGGTTCCAATAACCATCACCTTCTCATTTAATCACGATGAGATTCGCTCAATCTCATGCTCATCCGAATGCCTTACTCTAGACAGCTCTAAAGTCGCTTGCAATTTTATATCTTTAAAGAGTTTCATCTCTATTTAGGTCTTACTGTTTGTCAGTTTAATGAGTAATTACGCTATTTAGCCATTGCAGATGCGATTACTCTCCGGAAGCGAATCAAATTCTTTGTGAGTTATCCGTTAACGATACCGTATCTTGCAAATTCATTGGCCAATATTGTTCACACTTCTTTTTGCCACATTCAGTGATATTACACAGCATTATGATCGCCTTGGATTTCTCTTGCCATACCATACGCCAGAAATCCTCAACGGTGTTGTCTTTTGGTGCCTGTAGTTGTTTGATTTATAACACTGCTATCATTATCAGTGTTTTTATCATCGTTATCATTGTCACTATTACCATTATTATCTTATTATTACTACTAGTTTTATTGCCACTGTTATTTGAAATATTTTCATTGCTAGCCTATATTGAAGCAGTTCCAAACAGAGAACATTGGAAGTCATTTAAAGCTAATCGTATTTCTCACAATTATCACTCCTTATCAAATTTGTATAGCTGTATATCTGTATGATTCATACGCGCAAATGAAACTGTCGAATCATCTAACGGTGGTGATAAATGATTTCAAGTTATCATTCGAGCGTCTTATCAACACAATATGATATATCAAATCATGTAAATTGCGTGTTTGACCTGTGTGCAAATGAAACGTTTCTTATTCTCTCTCACGGCAACATAATTCGCATGAATATAATCGTTTTCATCGTTTGGATACGTTAATTTCACTCGAGTACCGTCAATGCAAAACACATCTGAAAATAGCTGATAAAAGCCCAAAAGAATCTTACGAAAAGCTTACGATCAATTATGAGTCGAGAATCAAATTGCATCTCATCGAGTCATCCAATCATTTGATTCATTCAAACCCGACCGAATTGAATCATTAATATAAATAGAAGAAAGTGATGATGCACACTTTCAATGCAAATACGATATTCTTCATTCATTTTTATTATTCAATCAATTTTATTGAAGCATCCTCTTGAATGTTTTTTCAACGTTGCTGCGCTTATGAATGAAAATTTGCCTTTATATAATATTACATGTCATATTCCATTTCACACTGCTATCGAATCAGCACTAATCCATAAAATTATTAGAGAACACACTACGTTCATAACGTTTACATTTTTTGGATTTTTTCTCAATCTCT